GGGCGGAGGAGCCCCGCTCCCCTGCGGGGACTCCCCGCTCCGGGAGGCGGGCATGCCCGCGCCGGACTGCGCAGCTCCACGCTCTCTGCCTATTAGTATTATAATTAATTTTTTTTTTTTTTCAGGGGGAAAAAAATAAATAAATAATTGGGGGGGTAGAGGGGGGGAAAAAAAAAACCCAAACCCCACAACAGAACCCAAACCACCCAGGCTTCGGCGCGGAGCCGTGCGCTTCTCCCCCGCGGGTGTTTCCGTGAGGTGGGCGCTGCCTGCGCAGCCCCGCTCCCCCCAAACTCCTGGCTCCTTCCCCTTCCCCTGCTGGCGGCGGCCGGAGCCTTCGCTGCAGGCAAAATGAAAAAAAAAAAAATTAAAAAAAAAAAAAAAAAATAAAAAACCACCCCCATTTCCTGCATTATTAAAACTTCGCATCTTCCCCCAGGCGGGCGCTGGGGAAGGGGCGCCCCTGCTCTTGCGTCTCGGGCTATGTTACATTAGAAAAAAAAAATATAAAAAATAAAAAAAATAAAAAAATCAATCTCCCTGCAATTCGGCTGCTCTGTCATTAGGCGTCATTGTAAAGCTATTTCTCCAGAAACCACCAAAAGAGATTTCCTGATGTTGGGAAAAACACAGTGTCAACAGAAAGAGGGAGAAAGTGGGGATTTTTATTTGGAGAGAATGCAGAATACTGCTCCTTTCGGGCGATTATTCCCACTGCAAACATTAACTACGAAAACACTTCACTAAGCCCTCGCTGCTCTATTGTCAAACCATTATTATTTTTTTTTCCCCACCCTGCCTGGAGATTAAGGTTGGGTTAAGCAGCGTGTGGGTCCTGGCATCCAGAGACGAGCCCCGTGCCGCCGGCATCCCCGGGAAGCAGCGATGCCGTGCCCTGGGATGGAAGGTGGAGAGGGAGGAGGGAGATGGAAGGCTCTCCGCAGGCTGGAGAGCTGCCCAAACTCCAAGTTGCAGAAGCGGAACGGATCCATCGCCGCTCGCCAGAGCAACGGGACGAGCCTGAAATTCAGCGGGAAGTTAATGGAGGTTTGCAAAGGCAGAGCAAGAAGAGAAGCCGCGCTTGGAAGTTTTGAGGTCCTTGCTTTTTAAAGACACCCGTGCATACTCCTGTTTTCTGAGATAAATGATCAGAGAGTTGGACAGATCAATAATAATGAGATTGGATTTTGGAGCGACTAAGCGAAGCTGGCATGTTACTCATTGGAAGCACAGCTATTTTACTGAGATTTGGATACAGTTATTCAGGGCTAGGTTTCTCACACACTGACCGAGCACCAGAGAAGTAGATGCTCCTCTGATATCTGGAGGTATCAGCATCACACCACACTCTTAACACTGCTTTTCCTGTACAGCTTTGTAAGAAATGAAGATGTGGGTTTTCGACTGAATTTCAAGGAGGTCAGGCATCTAACTGAACTGAGCGCCTTGCTCCCTTCTATGCTTATGGAAAAAACAACCATAATGAAATTGTTACTATAGAATTGGGTCCAACAGTAGGCAAAAATAAAAATCCAAAAAAAAGTTCTAAGGAGTTTCCATGTGTCTATTTACAAACCAAACAGATTCAAGTTTTCATCACTCTCAAGGAGGCAGAATGTGTTTCTAAGTTTATTATTTTCTTGCTTAAATAAAAAGCAGCGGTAACAGTTGGTAAGTGGTATGTTTGAAGCACCTTTTACTTATCCAGCCACCAGATAAAGACTCTCTTCTTTTACAAATTAACTATAATAACCATGAGTTTCACGTACAAAAAAAAAAAAAAAAAAGAGAATCAATACATTCATTTTGAAGCTGGCATCGTTGTCCCAAAAATGGGATCATTGTACTGCCAGTCATGATCTTGGTCAAACAACTTTTTCTATTAGCAGCAAGTTCAATATGCCCTCCAAATGATTACAGCTCTTTTTATGTATCAGGGTTTTCTCTCTGAAAGCAAAGACATCACCAGCAGAGGAATAATTAATATTGACACTGACAAAGTCAATCTGGCACCGAGGTCAACATTTTTGGGAAGATTATGAAAAACAGGAGATACTTTGCTATTTTTAGTCACTCAGAATCTTCACCAAGAAGTCAATGGGAACATATTGCCCGACAGCAGTTAGTATGGAGGAATCTGTCCCAATTCCAATTAATGTGCAAGCCATAGGGCCTTGAGTGTCCCTCTGTGATGTATGGGTTATTCAGAGAATATATTGTCCCTCCATTCAAACTAATTCATAACGATGTTGTTCTCTGATCTGCTCATCATGGCTTCATTTGACAGCCTGGGAAGTGAACAACTGCCATTTTCTCCATTTATCCAAGGAAACACATAGTCTGAAACACCTTACAAATGCATTGAGAATATTTAATCACAAGTTAGGCTTAGCGTGGTCATGGGTATTTGTGCAAGAAAGGGATCTAGAAAGTAGAGCTAACCATGATAAATATGTCCTATTTGCAAACCTTTATAACTACCCGGCTTCCTCATCTAGAACAAAGCCTGACACAGCAAAGATCTGTAGGATGGATTAGAGTGTCCAAAGCAGCAGATGTGAATATTTATTATAAACTCTCTTCCAGCAAGTCTTTGCTGACAGAAGCATTGCATATGGATTTCACTTGCAGCCAGACTCTCCAGGCAATCGCTGGGATGACTTCTGTAGAAGCCAAACAAATGCCATTTTGCCTGGAGCCCTGACACCGCAACAGCTGGGCAGGGGGTTAATGTCACTTTCAGCTTCTCGAAACCAGTAATGAACCCACTCATTACAGAAAGAAAGGGATGGGAAGGCAGCAAGATTTGGATAACTGCAGTTCCCTGCCAGAAAGCAAGGACAGGACAGCCTGATAACCCAGACAACACCTTCAATGTCTAATTCCCCCACACACCCCCAGTTTGGCAGAAGGACAGGAGCAGCCCTCAAAGCTGTGTTTTTCTATATTCTTTGCTAGGTAAGTCATATGCCTGAAGAAAAAAAAAAAGCACTCTTACCTGGTCAGTCCACATCAATATTCTGACAGTATGGGGAAATGACAAAACCAATAGGAAAATAGAGAGGGACAATAAAACCCCAGCTACTAGGAGGTGCAGCAGTAAACTGCATGTGACTTCATCGCTAGTACTCGCTGGGGAAAGGGTTTTAAGTGTGTGAGGCAGCCCTGGTGAGGAATGATTAATTCCACAGGAGTTTTTGCTAGCTGAGTTATGATGTTACTAGGGTTGACTATGAGCACAGCCACCTCCTTGCTCGGTAGCAGCAGGATGCACAGGCGAGCGCCTGCGAGAGGGAACAAAAAGGGGAGGGGAAGGCACAAAATGAGAACATCTCATTTCCGTCACCCTTTATGTCAACACTGATCTACGCACTCATAACAGTTTGCTCATTATAATGTAAATTTACTCCCTCCTTCCTTCCAAAAGGAGATGTTTCATTTTGGAAAGAGGGAACAAATTGTGTTTTATTGCTCTTTCAAAATGTTCTCCAATTAGGAAAGCAAACAAAAACTATTACATAATTGTCATGCAAAGCTCTGGTTTTATGAAGGATACTTACTTGTGCACTAACAAAGGCACTTTGATAAAACGCTCAGGAGAAGATAAAAGCCTGGGGATACTTTTTTTTTTTTCATACCTTTCTCAGGTGGGGCTGGTCTATGCAAACTCACTGAACTCAGCAGTTCTGCTGATTTGCATTGAAATTAGCAGTTTCTGCTTAGAAGATCCTTCTTCCTCAAACTGGCAGACAGCAGTCATGACAAAGCACATTGCCACGACAA